ACCTGGAACTGGAGTTATGGACAGTTGTTAGTTGCCATGTGGGTGCTGGGATTCGAACCCAGGTCTTCTGCAGGAACAACCAGTGTTCTTAACCACTGAGCCATCTCTCCAACCCCTGCTTTCTTATTTTTTTATATCAACAAAAAAATTAAATAATACAGAAAGCTGGTACCAAGAAGTGGGACCAGTCCTATGATAAATCTGACCATGTGGTTTCTGGAACTGTTTGCGGAGGAATATGAAAGTGTTTGGAGCCATGAACCAAGGAGGCTAAATACTACAAGCAGAGCCCAATGGGCCATTCTGGTGGGAGTTCAGACAAGAATGCTGAGAGAATGCAGACAGTGGAGGGCCAGCTCATGAGGTTCAGAGGGGAACTAGGACTCCACTGAGAACTAAGCTAGACTCTAGTCATGTGAATTCTAGCAAAGAATCTGGGAGCATTCTGTCCATGTCATAAGAATTTGAGTGAGGATGAATTCAAAAGTAATGGACTAAGTTGTTCAGCAGAATAAATTTCAAGACAGCATAGTATAGCATTAGGCTATGTCACAGTTACTGTTCAGGGTTCTTATCCAGGTTTACAGTGAGAGAGGTGGAGTAAAAAGATATGACATTTGGAGAGGAAAGGAGTGTGAGCAAGTTTAAAGTTGCTGACAGAAGTGTGTAGAGACAGCAGCTTCATCTGTTAAAAGATTAGTACAATTAAGAAGAAAACTCACACTTTCCAGTGGGACAAGAGGAAGGTGACTTCAGGGCAAGACCCTACCCATAGAGGGCTCCAGCTTCTAAAATGCAAATTCACTCAAAAGCAGAGAGACTGAGAATGTCACTAGAGGGGTTCCCTGTTGGAAAACAAGCGTCTAGAGTAATTTTTTTCCTCAGGTTTAGTCACCAACTTGCAGAGGCCACTGCAGCTATGGTAGATAGATCTTATTCTGGCAGCAGAATGTGGCAGCACTGTCCATACGATGCTGCTTTTGCAGTCATGGAGGCTTGCACCAAAGTTGCAGAAAGCTACTGAGGCCCGACAATGCAAAGCACGGTTGAACTGCCTGTGAGGGGGCCCTGAGAGGCCACTGTGGGAACCTGTGAAGCCTAAGCTTCAATAGAGATCCCAAGACATTGGAGATGCCAGGACCATGAGGTACCCATTGAGGATAACTGCAGGCTCAGAGCGGAAGAGGCTACATGTGCAGCAGATGGCAGAACTGAAGGATGTGGCTATCCAAGGCTATTGACGATGGGCTATCCAGGCCTAGATGGTGACACTAAGAACCCCGGATGTGGGACTCAGAGCATCAGGATTTGGTGTTTTTCCCACTAAGTTTCAGTCTTGCTTTGATTCAGTCTTTCCTTGCTATGTTCCCATTCCTTCCTTTTAAAGTAGGAATGTTTGTTAACTCTGTGGCATTACATATTGAACATATGTAATGCTTATAGCCTGAGACTAAGAGATAGGCAGCAAGTCCACATCTACTATCTTTCTCTATCTACACTGTCCTTGACATATCTACCTCTGTTGCCTGGTAGGGAGACCGAAAGCAGAAGCTCAATAACTGCTAAACAACCCAATACATAAATGCTGAGCAAAAAGCTCTGAAGTTGTTTGAACCCTTCCCACCATGTCAACTGATAGGAAGGAAGGAAGAGAATAGTTGAAAATGGTTTCTGGAAGAGGTAGGAGTTGAACTAAGCCTTGAAAGACAAAAGGCCAAGACACAAGAGGTCCTACCTGTGTGTATCCTCACATGGTTTTTATAGTTAGTTGCGCTGGCAAATGCCCTCCCACATCCTGGTTCTGTGCAGTAATAAGGTCTTTCTCCTGTATGTGTCCGAATATGCACTTTTCTGATATTTGATGTAGTAAAGGACCGACCACAGCCTTCAATAGGACACTTAAAGGGCCTTTCTCCTGAAAACACAAAAGGGAAAAAATTAAAAGGTGCTGTTAGGTTCAGCACAAGCTCTTGCTCCAGACTGTAGCTGTGTGCTGAACTTCTCTTTCTGGTATTTCTTTGTTTCTGGAAAAAGCATCTTCCACTCCAAATTTAGATTTCCATAAGAAATGACATTCAAAATTCATCAGTGATTATATAACTTTCCAAGATGGAATATTCATGTGGGTAAACTAAAAACTGAGTTGAGAAAAACAGAGATAGATATGTTAGAGAAAATATAAAAGGAAAATGAGGTCAAGAATAAGGATTCAAGGCTGTAAGATGGCTCAGTGGGCAGAGGTACTTGTGGCCAAGCCTGAAAACCTATGTTTGATCCCTGGAACCCACACAGTGGAAGGCAAAAACCAACTCCCACAAGTTATCTTCTGACCCCCACATGCATACCATGCACGTGTATATAATATAAATACAAGTTCAATTAAAAAAAATTTAAAGAATAAGAAAAAAAAAGCTGGGTATGGTGGCACACGCCTTTAGTCCTAGCAAGTGGGAGGCAGAGGCAGATGGATCTTTGTGAGTTCCAGGACAGCCTGGTCTACATAGCGAGTTCCAGGTCAGCTGGGGCTACAAAGAGACCCTGTCTCAAAAAGACCAAAAAAAGAAAAAAAGAAAGAAAGGACTAAATTGGAACCCTAGGACTCCCTGAACCTTATTTCCTACTTTACTTATTCTATGATACTATAAAGAAAGCTTCTGGGGCTGGTCAGATGGCTCAGTGAGTAAAAGTGTTTCTCATCAAGCCTGATGGATTAAGTTCCATTCCTGGGACCCACAGGGTGAGAGGTGAAAACCAGCTCCTGTAAGTCCACACATGCACTATGGCATACATGCAGGGACACACACACACACACACACACACACACACACACACACACCAATAAATATAAGAAAAAATAAAAATAGTTGGTATTTAATTGAGTGCCTCCCATAGAACATGTACCCAAATACTGGTTTTTTTTTGGTCTTTTTGAGACAGGGTCTCCCTGTAGCCCCAGTTGACCTGGAATTCACTATGTAGACCAAGCTGGCCTCAAACTCACAAAGATCTGCCTGCCTCTGCCTCCCAAGTGCTGGGATTAAAGGCATGTGTCACCACGCCCAGCCCATATTCTTATGTTATGAAAAACTCTATTCTGCTATTATACTCCATTCCTTCATATTCACTTTATATAGCCTTATAACCTGGGCTGGAGAGATGGCTCAGTGGTTAAGCACACTGGCTGTCCTTCCTAGCACCCACATGGCGGCTAACAACCATCCACAACTCCAGTTCCAGGGAAATATGATGCTCTCTTCTGACCTCCATGGGCATTACATACATGCACAGGTACACTTACATACATGCAGGCAATACACTCAAACAAATAAAATAAAAATAATAAAATATTTTAGGTTCTGGAGAGATGGCTCAGCAGTTAAGAAAACTTGCTGTTCTTCCAGAAGTCCCTAGTTCGATACCCAGCACCCACATGGCAGCTAACAACTTTCTGTAATTTCAGTTCCAGGGGATACAAAATGCCCTCTTCTGGCCTCTGCCAGCATCATATAACACAGGTGCAATTACAAACATGTAAGCAATACACTTGAACACATAAAATAAAAATAATACATACAATATTTTGATTCCTATGTGGCCCTTTCTAGAATGAACTGAAATTAAGCAAATTACTTCTGAGGTTTTTGATCATTATTATTAAAACTAGATTACTGATTGTTATAGCTTTTATATGACAAAGTGTCTTTATACTGCAAGTCTGCCCAGAATGTACAGGAATTTGGAAGCACTTCTCTTTGATACAAGGAATAAAAGTAAGTGCATACATGAGATGGAAAAAGAGATCTACAGCTCTGTCCCTAGGCATCAGAAAGTAAAGCCAATTTGCAGTTACATTAGAACTAAAAATTGAACTTTAAGTTCTAGGCTAGCTAGGGCTACAGGGAGACCCTGTCTCAAAAAAAAAAAAGAAAAAAAAAAAAGAGAGAGAGGCAATCAAAAAGAAGGATCAAGTCTTTCTTTCTGTGTGGATGTTAGAGGCTCAGAAAGTTTTTCATTTTTATTTATGCATGTGCATGCACATGCTTCTCTGTGTGTGCATCATATATGTGCAATGTTTGTAGAAACCAGAAGAGGGCATTGGATCCCCAGAACTGGTGTTACAAGTGGTTGTGAGCTGCCCTATATGGATGCTGGGAACCTATCTTGGGTACTAGCAAGTGCTCTTCACCACTGAACCATCTCTCTAGCCCCATCAGACAGTTTCTTTAGCAGCAGTGTTGCAGGACAGGCAATACTAAGTTGAGAAGTATATTTTAGGGTCTGGCCTCAATCTGGATACTTATCAAATCTGTTGTGCTAGGAAAATAAGTTTGTTACTCAGATAATTTCTGAAAACTGAGAGGGTTGGTGATCTAGGGCCACTGTCCATGTTTCTGAGGTGTAGATGGACCCCTTAGAGAATCTAACAGAGTTCTGGGCTTTCATCTTGGAAAGAAGCACACATATACAAACAGCAAATTGAATGGCATGTTAGGAGTTTAAGAGAAGCCCCTGGTATTAATTCCTTTAAACTTTTTCAGAGACTCCATTCCTAGTGGGCACCCCCCTCCCCAGTAGATTAAGAAATCCTGGCCTAGCCTGGTAGCACATGCTGGTGATCCCATCACTTGGTAAAACTGAGGTAGGAAGAGCACAAGTTTAAGGTCAGCCTGAGCTACATAACGAAACTCTATCCCATAAAAAACAAACACAGCTGGCCCAGATATGACATTCTATTCATGTGTACCTGTGTGGGTTCTTATGTGCTTCTGTAGATCTCCTGAAGTCTTAAAAGACTTTGTACAATTATCTTCTGAACACCGGTATGGCTTTTCTCCAGTATGAGTTCTGAAATGACTTTTTAATCCATAACCTTTAAGAAAAATTTAAAAGAAGTTTAGTTTACACAATACTCCTCTAAACATGCACATGGAGATTATCCTATGAAAACATACAGCAGACAACAAGGATAAAATTCTAGGCAGATATAGCAGGATAACTATTAAAATCACTCCAGATAAGGTGGGTAGGGGTGGCTCATGTCTGTAATCCCAGTACATGATGCAGAAGGATTGCTATGAGTCTGAGGTTAGCCTAGGACACAGTGTCAGACTGTCTCAAAAAACAAATCGCCAGGCATGGTGGCATATGCCTTTAATCACAGCATTCAGGAGGCAGAAGCAGGTGGACCTCTGTGAGATTGAGGCCAGCCTGGTCTATATAGTGAATTCCAGTTCCAAGCCAGGTGGGACTACAGGGACACCCTGTCTCAAAACAAAAAAAAAAAGTACATCCAGCAGTGGTAGAGAGGGTGGAGGATCTCTGTGAGTTCAAGGTCAGCCTAGACTATATAGAGAGCTCCAGACCAGCCAGGGATGCATAGTGAGACCTTCTCCCAAAATAAACATAAGTATGAGACAGTAACAACAGCTCATACTTGCCATGCTAAAATTCTATAATATCTCTGCTTAGATGATGTTGTGTGTAGCTGGGTGTGGTGGCACATATGCTTATAATCCTAGCACCTGGGAGGCTGACACAATAGGATAGTAAGTTTGAGGGCAACCTTGACTACACAGTGAGACTGTCTCCAAAAAAGAAAACAAAAGCTGAAAAGGTTCTTTCTCTCTCCTTGTCTCCCTCTCCCCACCCCCCCCCCTTTCTTTTTTGGAGTCAAGGTATCCCTGTAACCCCAGCTAGCCTGGAATTCACTATGTAGACCAGGCTGGCCTCAATCTCAGAGATCTGCCTGCCTCTGCCTCCTGAGTGCTGGAACTAAAGGCCCCACCACGCCCAGCCTATATCTCATTTTTTTAAATGCCTCATTGATTTTAGATATTATTTACAACTGATATCCAAAAATCTTAAAGTAGAATCAAGACAAGGGATAAGGAGTGGAAGTCAGGCTTGGTATTGGTTCAAGCCTGCCTGTATGTTAAGTACATCTATGTCATACAGTACCTGTGGAAGTCAGCAGATCCCCCAGAACTAGCTTTATGGACAGTTGTTAGCCACCATGTGGGTGCTGGGTTTCAAACCTGGGTCCTGTGCAAGTATAGCCAGTGCTTTTTTTTTTTTTTAATATTTTATTATTTTTATTTTAACTGTATGAGTGTATTGCCTACATGTAAGTAAGTGCACCCATGTTGTGCAATGCTGCAGAGGTCAGAAGAGGGCTTCGGATTCCCCTGGAACTGAAGTTAAAGACAGTTCGTAGCTGCCATGTGGGTGCTGGGAATCGAGCCTGGATTCTCTGCAAGAGCAGCAGTCAGTGCTCTTAGCCACTGAGCCATCCCTCCAGCCCCAAGAACAGCCAGTGCATTTAACCGTTGAGTCATCTCTCCAACTCCATTAAGTTGGTTTTTTGGTGGTTTTTTTTTTTTTTTTTGGTCTTTTTTTGAGACAGGGTCTCCCTGTAGGCCCAGCTGGCCTGGAACTCACTATGTAGATCAGGTTGGCCTGAAACTCAAGAGATCTGCCTGCCTCTGTCTCCCAAGTGCTGGGATTAAAGGCGTGTGCCACCATGCCTGGCCCAATATGGGTTCTGGGAACTGAATCTGCTTATAACTCTAGTTCCAAGGGATCTGATGTCTTCTTCTGACATCTGCAGGCACCTGCATGCACATGGTGCACATAAACTCATGTAGGCATGTAAAATACACATAAATATAGAAGGACAAAAACAAAGGAGACTGAAAATTTGACCATGTGCATCTGTGGTCTTAGAAAAGGGAAGGGGTCAGTTCCTATCTCTGGGCTATTCTGGGCAATCCCCCACTGGAACTAAGAAGCAAAGAAAATTTGTTTTTACCTGTTGCAAATGCTTTCCCACAGCCTGAATGCTCACATTGATAAGGCCGGTCTCCTGTGTGCGAGCGCTCATGGACCTGTTATTAAAACACAATCGTGATTCCATTTTCTTCATACACTCTTTGAGTAAGATGGTCTCAACACAGATCTGTGTTTTCCCTCTCACTGATGAATGGTTTTGCTATGATTTTTTTTTTTCTCTCTCTCTTTTTTTTTTTTTTTTTTGGCGGGGGGAGGTCCTTTTTGAGACAAGGTCTCCCTGTAGCCCCAGATGACTTGGAACTTGCTATGCAGACCAAGTTGGCCTCAAATTTTTTTTCTCTTTTTCTTTTGTAGCACTGAGGATTGAACCCAGGCCCTCAGATATGCTATGCATTGACTCTACCACTGAGCTCTATGCCTAGTGATGTTGCATACTTAAAAAAAAAAAAAAGAAATAAAACAAAGACGAGTTTTCCACAAAAATAATAGCTCAGTAATTCTCAATGCAGATCTAATGTTACACAGTAAGAAGCACTCTTTTAAGATAAAGAATGAGAACATTTGAGTGCTTTTAGAGTGGTCAGAAATGGTTACATGGTGCTCATACATGATGAGAATGTGGAACAGAATGCAGGGAAAGGCTTCCCAAAGCGAGAGACAGCATGAAGCCTGTGCAAGATGGGCATACATATGAGACAAGGCTCCACTACTACCTAGAAGAATGGCCTTAGGTACATCCATCCACCCATCCACCTATCATCTATCTATCTATCTATCTATCTATCTATCTATCTATCTATCTATCTATCATCTATCTATCTATCATCCATCTAACCATCCATCCGAGATGGGGGTCTCATCTCATGTAGTCCAGGCTGGCCTCAAACTCTACGCAGCTAAGGATGAACCTGAACTCCTGATCCTCCTGCCTGTACCTCCTGAGTACTGAGATAATAGGTAAGTACAACCACACACAGTCTATGGGTAGAAGGGAAATGAACCACAGGCCTTATTTGTGTTAGGCAAACCCTCTACTAACGGAGTTACATTTTCAGCTTTGAACCTGCCTTCCTAAGCCTCAAAATTCTCTCTGCAAAAAGTAAAATATCATCTACCATGGGAGGCTACTATGACAAATGAGTATTCATGCCAATGTCCAACATTCAATGACGCTTACACAGGCATCAGATGCTGCTCTTTTTAGTACTTTATACGGATAGCATTAGCTTATATAATTCTCAAACCCATTCTGTGAAGGAATGTTAAGTAACAGTATAGTATGCTATGTTACAGACAGGCTGTCATGTATCCCAAGCTGGCCTCATACTCACTATGTAATGAGGGTGACGTTGATCTTCTGATGCTTCTGCCTCCACCTACTGGGTGCTAAGATTACAGGCGTGTGGCCCCACACCCAGTTTATGTGGTGCTGGAGATGAGACCTATGGCCAGGCAAGTAACTCTACCAACTGAGCTACATCCCCAATCTGAGATATCTGATTTTACAGACAAGGAAAATAAGGTACCAAGTTCAATTAATATGTCAAAGTTACACATTGATAAGTATGGAAGGGCTGCTATTCCAAATATGCTTCCTGACATATTGTAAATTATTCAATAAATATGAGCTATTTATTAAAAATCATGGCAAATTATGTTGTGTTTAGTTGCAATTAAAATAAAAAATATTGGGACTGCAGAGAGAGACGGTTCAGTGGTTAAGAGTACTGGCTACTCTTGTAGAGAACCTGGGTTCGGTTCCCAGCATCCAAATGATGGGTAACAACCATCTGTAACTTCAGTTCCAGGGGATCCAATGCCTTCTTCTGACCTCTACATGCATTACACAACACGGGTGCACTTACATATATGCAGGCAATATACTCACACACATAAAGTAATAAAAATTAATAAATAAATAAAATATTTTAAAATAAAAATATTGCTGGGTATAGTGGCATACACCTGTAACCCCAGAAATCAGGAGGTCATAAAAGGAGGATCACAAGCTAAGGTCAGCCTAAGCTACACAATGGGTACACGCTTGAGCTACATAAATGCTATCTCAAAAGACCACCAAAGGCTGGGGATGTAGATCAGAGGTAGAGCACTGGCCTAGCAAGTCTAAAGCCCTGGGTTCTAGCACCTCAAAAAAAAAAAAAAAAGTACTTGGCTCAAATATTTTAAAAGTAGGGTATTCTTTTTTTGGGGGGGGATGTCTTTTTGAGACAGGGTATCTTTGTAGCCCCAGCTGGTCTGGAATTCACTATGTATGTAGATCAGGCTGGCTTTGAACTCACAGAAATCTGCCTGCCTCTGCCTCTCAAGTGCTGGGATTAAAGGCATGTGCCACCACACCTGGCAGGTATTCTCTTTTTTTTCTTTTTTTTCTTTTACAATGCTGAGGACTGAACCCAGGGCTTGTATACACAAGACAAGTGCTCTCTCACTGAGCCATATTCCCAGCCATAGGAAAGATGAACAGCAATTTTTGCTAGATTCTAGTGGCTCACTCTTATTGGAGTGATGACACAAAACTCTCACAAAATTATGTAAGTTCCACATCTGAAATGTACTGACTATACTGACTTCAAATAGAACACTGGTCAGGAAGTACGTTGGACATTAGGCATACTTTTTCAGGGTCCATACAGGCTTCTGTGTGTCTGAGTATATGTAACAGGATCTTGTTAAATGGGGATGAGCAGTGACAGTGGAATGTGTAGCATGTTAGTATTTAATGCCTGACATAGGTGTTTTCATAATCAGCTATAGCACTTCTCTACAGGTACCTTAAGATGGTGAGCTGTTGTGTATAACTTTCCACACCCATCATATTTACATCGAAATGCCTTCTCTCCACTCTGTTGAGATTTAGCAGTTACTCTGGTAGCATGTCCTTGTAAGACAATCTAGAGAAAACAAAATAAGGGTTAAGATACTTATACATAAACAAAACAGATGAAATTACTACTTTTAAAAAAATTTTATTATTATTAATTTTATGTGTATGAGTGTATTGCCTGTATGTGTGTTACTGCATCCGTGTCATGCAATGCCTGTAGTCAGAAGCGGGTATTAGATTCCCCTGGAACTGGAGTTAGGGACAGTTGTTAGCCACCATGTGGGTGCTGGGAATCAAATCTGGGTCCTCTAGGAGAGCAGCTAGTGCTCTTAACCACTGAATCTTCTCTCCAGCCCCAGAAATGAGTAGTTTTACAATGACAAAGATAAAACCGTAATGTGAATTCTAATTCATGACAGGACTTTCCTAAAAGTCTATCACTTTGAGTCGATAGGATTTATTCTAAGTCTGAAGTCCATGCTCTAAGCTGAAAGGGGCACTACAGTCATGTATAGACTAAATTCACAGATCTACTCCCATTCTAGAAAATCCCCAGTATGTGCCAGTGCTATGCCTGGCATGGTTAATTTAGGTTGTCAACTTGACTGGATCTGGAAATAATGAAAATAGGATGGACTTTCTTGATCAGATTATTTGAATCCAAAAGATCCATCCTAATGTGGGTAACCCCTTCTGAGGCAGCCCATATAAAAGGACATGGCAGAAGGGAGCTCTTGTTTTTTGTCTTCCTGTCTTCACTGGGAGTTTATCTATCCTGCTGCTATGGCACTCATTTGCAGACATTTAGAACAACTTCTTCAGGTTCCAACAAAGACAGAAGACCAGCACTTCTCCAGGAATCCCCCAGGCTTCAGCATCAGATTGGGACTGCTAAATCATCCAGCCTCTTGGACTGAGCAATTACCAGATTCTCAGCCTCTTTAGGGTGTGGCAGCCATTGTTGGACTACTCAGATCCTATCCTGTAAACCAATCTAATAAATCACCCCTTTTAAAAAATATTTTATTAGCCAGGCGTGGTGGCGCACACCTTTAATCCCAGCACTTGGGAGACAGAGGCAGGCGGATCTTTGTGAGTTCGAGGCCAGCCTGGTCTCCATAGTGAGTTCCAGGACAGCTAGGGCTACAGGGAGACCCTGTCTCAAAAAGCCCAAAAACCCCCAAAAAACTCAATTTTAAAAAAGGTGAAGAACAGGGGCTGGAGAGATGGCTCAGCGGTTAAGAACACTGGTTGTTCTTGCAGAAGACCCGGGCTTGAATCCCAGCACAGGGCACATGGCAGCTGACAACTGTCCATAACTCCAGTTCCAGGGGATCCAACGGCCTTTTTCTGTCCTCTGCGGACATTGCATGACATAGGTACACTTACCTACATGCAGGCAATACACGCATACACATAACAGCCTGGGCTGTCTCAAAAAAGTTGATATCATAGCCAGGCATGGTGGTGCATGCCTTTAATCCCAGCACTCAGGAGGCAAAGACAGGTGGATCTCTGTGAGTTCAGGCCAGCCTGGTCTCCATTAGCAAATCTAGGCCAGCTGCAGCTACAGGGAGACCTTGTCTCAAAAAAGACCAAAAAAAAAAAAAGAACGATCGAGGAATATCCTGATATCATTCTTTGGCTTTCACATGCATGTGCACACATGTGCACATGTATCTACACACATCAATACACAAATAATGTATAAATACATTGTTTTTAATTGCCTGGCTCTAAAGAAAATATGATTCCTAGTATGAATTAATCAAAAAAATTTTTATTTGAATCATTAGCATTTAGGTTCTAAAATAATTTCTCCATGGGGCTGAAGAAATGGCTCAGCAGTTAAGAGCCCTGGCTGCTCTTACAGAGAACTGACGTTCAATTCCTAGCACCCATGTCCGGGTTGCTCACAATCACCTGCAACTCCAGCTCCAGGAGGATGTGACAACTCTGGCTTCTGAGAGCACAAATACTCATGGGCACATACACAGAGACACGCACATAATAATTAAAAAGAAAATCTTTTAAAAAATGTCACAAGATGGGCTGAAGAAATGGCTCGATAATTAAGAGCACTTCCTGTTCCTCTAGAGGACCAGAGTTTAGTTCCCAACACCCATCTTGGGTGGCTCACAAAAAACTGTAACTCTAGCACCAGGGGATCTGATGCCCTCTTCTAGCATCCATACATACTGGCATATATGTGGCATACATACACACACACCAAAAAAAAAATTTAAAATATGACAAAATTTATTAAAGGATTCATATTCGGTTGGGATAGAACTTGGGGTACAGTGTGTACCTAGCATGTGCAAGAGCCTGGATTCAATCCCTAGCACTGCAAAAACAACAACATCAAAATTTTTTGTAAAGTATTCATAGCAGTGTAATGTGAGGTTTATTAGCTATTATTTGAACAACTTCGAATTCCAGAAGTTGGGAGGTTGGAGGTAGGAGAATTGGGAGTTTGATGTCAGACACAAAAACAACAACAAAAAAACCTCCTTTACTATTATTTTTTTCATGTATCATAACAGTAACTCATAAGCATAGAAGGAATCTGGACACTACAGTTCAGGGTAAAGAGAAAAGTTTAAATGAGCTCTAGGTATAGGAAACTACTGTTACCATCTTGGTATATTTCCAATTCCCCTTTTGTGGAGGGAGGGGGGAAGGTAGGATTTCAACTGTATAGCCCCAGCTGGCTTTGGAATGCCCTATGTAGATCAGGCCAGCCTCAAATTCACAGAGATTCTTCTGCTTTTGCCTCCTGAATGCTGGGATGAAAAGCATGTGCTATTACACCTGGCTTTGGTTTTGGTTTTTTTTTTTTTGAGATAAGGTCTCATGTAGCTCAAGCTGGTTCCAAACATTCAATTCTCCTGTTTCAGGCTCTAGAGCGCAGGGATTAGAGGCAAGCACCATGAAGCCAGTCTCTATTCAATATTTAAAATATATATATATATATGCCTAGGATAGCTCAGTGGCATAGTAACTGCCTAACATGCATAAAATCATAGTTAATCTCCAGTACTAAAAAAAATGTCTGAGTGCAAGTGTATACACATACACATACCACATACAATATACTAATAAATTAAAATTAAATTAAAATAAACAAATAAAAATGTGGCACTAGGCTGAGGATGTGGCTCAGCTGGCAGAGTGTTTGCCTAGCATGGTTTCATCTCCAACACCACATCAACTGGGTATGGTGGTACATGACTGTTATCCTAGCACTTAGGAGACAGAGGCAGAAGGATCAGAAGTTCAAGGTAATCCTTGATTACACAGTAAATTGGAGGCCAACCTGGGATATATCCTATCTCTAAAATAAATAAATAAATAAATAAATAAATAAATAAATAATAAATAAATAAATCCCCAGAGGGATACTTTTTCAAACATTTCTGCCTCCCCAGTGCTGGGATTAAAGGTATGTGACACCACGCCCAGCTTTATTATTTTTATCTTATGTGTATGAGTGTATTGCCATGATGTGTGTAAGTGCACCTGTGTCATGCAATGCCCGTGGAGGTCAGAAGAAGATGTTGTCTTCCCTTGGAACTGGAGTTACTGACAGTTGTTAGCCATCATGTGGGTGGTGGAAATTGAATCCAGGTCCTCTGCAAGAGCAGCCAGTGAGTGCTCTTAACTGCTGAGCCATCTCTTCAACTCCCCAAAGGAATACTTTTAAAAGGAATTATGTGTAATAAAACTGTCTGAAGAATGCTAACAAAACCCGCTTTGCCTGTGTTAGCAAATGATCAGAGACAACTAAGAAGACAAAGAAGAGCATCAAAGCAAAAGCTTGGGAACGATGATGCCTCAAGAACAACCCCTACAAACACAAATTATTTACAGCAGTCTTAACCATATAAGCTCTTTATTTCTAAGTTGTAGATGTCCAAGAATGTAACTGAGACTACTCTGTATTACCTGCCAGGTGTGGTGGTGCACACCCTCAACTCCAGCACAAGGGTGGCAAAAGCAGGTGGATTTCTGTGAGATCAAGGCCAGCCTGGCATATATATATATAGTTGAGGCTATAGGGAGACCCCGTCTCAAAGAACCAAAACCAAAATCAACAAACAAACAAACAGAAAACCACTGGTACCAATCATTCTTGGGAGCTGTTTGGGAAAGAGGTAGCTGGCTAATGACTAGACTCAGGATGAATATCTGAATCAAAGGAAGCTAACTCACAGGCCACTGCAGCCAGGAAACAAGGTGCTACAAAAGGTAAAACAAAGTTTGTCCAGGAGCAACAGTGACAATTAGCGAGGGTAGACCTTCCCTTCAGAACTTAAAGAAAATACAGAGGAAATGCACTGGAAGTGGAAGAAACTAAAAGATAACGAGGGTCAGTCATTTACAGAAATGAAGGAGTCCCAGAGAAAGGATCCACCTTAGGTAGAAAAGCAGATCACTTGCTCTTGAAAACTGCCTTAGACTCTAGAATCCAGGCTTCACCTGGATCTCTGTGATATTTTTATTTCTGTAGTACCATGTAGGTACCACCAATGAACCTTAGACTTGAAGTAGTTTGAGAAAGTTGCTGCCTGACATACACATTGTTTTCCTGAGTTGGTGAGGTTTTCCTGGAAAGGTAGTGGGCTCTCCATTGTTGCTTCCACTTACAGAAGGGACTGGAGACGTTAAGAGATTTTAAAAATCATTTATTTTTATTTTATGCATATGAGTGTTTTGCTGAATGTATGTAAAGTGGACCACATGGATGTAATGCTCAAGAAGGTCAGAGAGGGTTTTAGATCCCTTGGAACTGGAGTTATGGACAGTTTAGCTACCAAGTGGGTGCTGGAAACAGAACCTGGATCCTCTGCAAGAACAGCTAGTGTAAGATGTTAAGCACTGAGCCATCCCACCAACCTCCAAAAGACTCTTACATAAAAAAGCAGCTTTATGCTGGGCATAGTGGTAAATGTCTGTAGTCTCAGCATTGGGAAGGCTGATGGTGGAAGGTAATTATGAAGCCAGCCTGGGTTATATAATGAGATCCTGTCTCTAACCCAACAACAACAACGACAATCTAGCTTTAAATACCTGCATTTTTTTCTCTTGCTCAGTCTCACCAATCACTCCAGTGCTTGTCACACTTTCACTTCCATCAATGGATACCTACAGGAATAAAAGAAAGCTTTAAAACATTGCATTTCTTCATTTTCAGGGCTGGGGATTAAAGCTAAGGCCTCACATACGTGAGATAAGCTTTGTACAACGGAGCTATACCACTATATTTTGATAGTAATTTAGGCTCAGTGGTAGAACATGAAGATTCTTTATTGTATGTTCTTAAAAAATCTTCCAAATCAAAAACAACTATTTATTTACTTATTTATTTATTCATTATTTTTGTGGTGCTGGGGACTGAACCCAAGTTCTCACTCATGTATTCTAGGCAGGCACTCTTCCACTGAACCATACCACAAGCCACCTAAAATTATATGTGTAAGACAGGCTCTCATGCAGCCCAGGTTGTCTTAGAACTCTACATGTAGTCAAGGCTGGCCCTGAATTCCTGATCCTCCTGCCTCCACCTCTACATGCTGGGATTATAGCCACCATAACTAGCCCCTCAAACTTTCAAATTACATGACAGATATAGTTCCTGTGTGTGTGTGTGCACGTGTGTGTGCGTGCGTGACCCAGCTGCTGGCTTATTTTGGATCTCTTCTTTTGCTATGCTATCCAAGCTGGCCTCAAACTCCTGGACCTGAGTGATCCCTCTCACTCAGCCTCCTGAGCAGCTGTGACAACCATGACTAGCTCAAAACTCAGAGCTATTTACCTAAAACTCAGGGTTTTCCTTTACTTTTCCTACTCTTTAATTTCCATATCCTATCTATGTATCTATGTATATTCTTTCTTTTTTTAAAAAAAGTATTTTACTTATTATTTTAATTTTATGTGTATGCATGTATTGCCTGCATGTAGGTAAGTGCACCTGTGTCACGCAATGCCCGTGGAGGACAGAAGAGACTGTCAGATCCCCTGGAACTGGAGTTATGGATAGTTGTTAGCTGCCGTGTGGGTTCTGGGATTCAAACCTGGGTCTTCTGCAAGAACAACCAGTGTTCTTAACTGCTGAGCCATCTCTCCAGCCCGTATATTCTTTCTTTTATGGAACTCATCCTTAAACTTTTTGTTAATTGCCAGCTACCCGTGTGAGTGTGAGTGTGTGTGTGTGTGTGTGTGTGTGTGTGTGTGTGTGTTTTTTAAGACAAGATTTCCTTCTGGGCTTGGTGGTACATGCCTGTGAGTTCAAGGCAAGCTTGGTTTACATAGTGAGTTCTAGGCCGGCTGGGGTTACAGGGAGACCCTGTGTCAAAAAGACCAAAAACAAAACAAAACAAAAAATACCAAGAAACACTATAGTCTCATGATATATTCCAGGTTGGCCTTGAACTTGCTTGGATTATAGGTGTGCACCACCAGGCTTGGTTTATGCAGTTCTGATACTGAACCCAAAGCTTCATGTATATTACGCAAGCACTCTCTATCAACTGAACTACATCCCCAGCCCTACATTGCTGATTTCTTGATAAAATATGCTTTTTGTTTTCTTTTCATGAAAAATAAAGACTGTATCCGAGATGTTGTTCCCCCTGGTTACTGGGATTGAACACAAAGCCTTGTGCATGCTAGGCAAGTGCTGTATCATTAAGCTCTATTACTAGTCCAGAGATTATATTGAAGTTGCCAAGTGCCATACCTTTGCTGCATACTGTTCCAAAGCACTAATGGTGTCTGGGTCAATTGTGGCATCCCCAGTGTGCAGCCCTGCCACTGTTCCATCAGCCTGAATTGCCAAGATGGTATCAGACTGTGGGACTTGTACTGCATGGTGGATGTAAGCTGTCGTGCCATCTTCCAGCTGAACCGCCTGTAATGCACTCTGGTCATAACTATCTGAGGGAGTGGAAGGGAAAGGCATTACATTCAAGACATTACATTATACATAAAGGTATAGGGGAATGAACTTTTTTATTGAATAGTTACTTTTACCACTATACTATGTAATTTATTTACTTATGTTTCATTTTTTAAAATAAGGTCTTGCTCTGTGGCCAGGCTGTCCTGATACTCACTACATAGTCAAGGCTATTTTTAAAGTTGCACCGATACTCCTACCTCTGCCCCCCACACCCCACTGTTAGGATTACAGGCATGTGCCACCATATCTTATTATCTTATTTGGTTTATATGTCTCATATTTATTATTTCATTTACTCTGAACAAAAATTCTTAGTAATTAGCACCTCTACTGTACAAATAGGAACCTGAGGGCTGGGAAATTAAAATCACTTTCCTAGAAACCATAAATCTTAAAAAAAAAAAAAAAGAGTCAGGTGCACACCTTTAATCCCAGTGTTCAAGGGGCAGAGGCAGAAGCAGGTGGATCTGCAAGTGCCAGCCTGGTCTACATAGCAAGTTCCAGGCCAGCTGGGGCTACAGGGAGACCCTGTCTTTAAAGCAAAACAACCCTCCCCGCAAAAAGTCCCAACACTTAGGCAGGTGTGGTGGTGCATGCCTTTAATCCCAGCACTTGGTAGTCAGAGGCAGGCAGATCTCTGTGAGTTTGAGGCCAGCCTGGTCTACATAGTGAGTTCCAGGCCAGCTGGGGCTACAGGGAGACGCTGTCTCAAAAAGACAAAAAAAAAAAAAAAAAAGTCCCAACACTTAAAAATCTAACCAATTAAAAAATTTAGCCAATCTAGGGCTGGAGAGATGACTCAAAGGTTAAGAACATTGGTTGTTCTTGCAGAAGACCCAGGTTTGAATCCCAGAACCCACATGACAGCTAACAACTGTCCATAACTCCAGTTCCAGGGGATCTGACAGCCTCTTCTGACCTCTGCATGCATTGCACAACATGGGTGCAGTTACTTACATGCAGGCAATACATGCATACACAAAAAATAAAAATAATAAATAAAATATTTTTAAAAATGGCAGCCAATCTAAACTCATTGTGTATGTAGAGAAACCATGATTTGAAATCATGTCAGTTCATGGTGTTCAAACTTGACTCCAAAGTTTATGCTGCGTACCTGTATAAACTGCTCTGGACAGCTCAAACTGCCACAAAGTTTTCCTTCAATGATGCCCCAACCTGCTGCTTTGCACTTCAGAGAATAAAACATCACTGTTTCACTTAATACTACTTCAGCATCTGAATGGAGTCCTTATCCCCATACTCCCACTTCTCTTATTTTATTCATATTTACAAAATTATCGTACCTTTGGAGGTATGGTGAATAAATGCTGTGGTTCCATCTTCTAACTGCACAGCTTGACCATCCTCTAGCCGCAAACTGTCCCCTGCTCAAGAGCAATGTTTACATTTAGATCCCATGTTTCTAGCATGTGTCAATTAACTCACTTCGTAACAACAGAGTCAGATTAAACACAACAAAAAACATACACTTGCTTTAGGAGTCACTGGACATCTAAGTAATTTCAGTGGGGGTGCTTTGAGAAAGTATTTAAAGGTAAAAGAAATCTGAATGCTTGTTTTAGGAATACATACTAGGGATAAGGAGACTTGAAAGGAGAAAAAGAACATGACTGACATGTAGGATTCAGCTCTAACAACAGCCACATTCACTTAAAACTGCTGCCTATTGGCCTCCCGAGCACAGCCTGTCATTTCTTTTTATTTATTTATTTTTTGTATGAGTGTCTTCTCTGCATGTACATAAGTGTTCCTGTGTTGTGCAGTGCCTGTGAAGGTCAGAAAAGGGCACTGGAGTGCCCTGATACTGGAGTTACAGACCTTGTTAGCTGCCATGTGAGTGCTGGAACCAAACCCGGGTCCTCTCCAAGAGCAGTCAGTGCTCTTAGCCACTGAGCCATCTCTCCAGACCTACTGCCTAGCAATTTCTTTTTCACTATCTTTGAGAAAAAGTCTTGGTGATGTTAGATCCTCTGGCATTTACTGACTGTCATTTCAAAAGGAAGGCTAGAAATCAGGATCAACTTTAGCCAGTAAAGCAAGCTGAAGGCAAAGTCTGAGAATCAGGGATGTTTCTTATGTTGTCTCTTAAATACTTACTACTTTTAGGTATGGGCACATGTTGAACATAGGCAGCAGAACCGTCTTCCAACTGAATGACCTGGCCATCTATGAGTCTTCCATCTGGAAGAAAAGAGTCCAGCCAATAAATTAGCACCAGCAAAAACAAAAAACTATACAATTTCAAAATGGTATCAACTATAAAAACATACACTACTTAAGCTCATGTTCATCTTGGTTCTTCCCTCAATGTTCTGAGGTAATTCAATAACATATCCAGTGATCCTACAGAAAGCAGAAAATCCTCCCTCAGCCATCCTTCTTCCCCTCCAATTTTCAGTCAGACGAGTTCAGAAGGAAGAGTGGCTCATCCCAGCAAGCTACATGAGTTGAACCTCTGTGGACCTTTCAGAACCACTTAGTACCAATGACCCAGACCATGGGGAAACTGAACAGACGAGTCAGTGCATCGGAAGCCAATTGACATTCACATCCCTAGGAACCACGTAGACCCTTGTCTGCGTACACATATGCATAGATTTCCAAACAAACAAGGTGTTTTTGAACTGGGCTATTTCCTGAAGCAAATTAAATACCAATTCAATCAGAGACAATACCAATTCAAGCAAAAAACAAATGTTTTCTTTACATATTCTGTAAAAATATTCAATAACAAGCTAAAGTAAAAAGCAGTAAAAGTTTTACTAGAATAGGCTGGAGATGCTGTATACCTTCCTCTCTTCCTTTGCTACTTCATAGTATTTTTCAACTATTTCACAAGGTACCCCCAAATTATCAAAATGAAATTTACATTAAATTAAAAAAACTTAAATTATCGGGGCTGGAGAAATGGCTCAGAGGCTGTTCTTGCAGAAGACCGGGGTTTGAATCCCAGCACCCACATGGCAGCTAACAACTGTCTATAACTCCAGTTCCAGGGGATTCAACAGCCTCTTCAGGCCTCCGCCAGCATTGCACAACATGGGTGCACTTACTTACATGCAGGCAATACACACATACACATAAAATAAAAATAATAAATAAAATTAAAACTTAATTTATCATATGTAATACAGCATCTTTAGGAGGTTGAAACAGAGGTATGGTTGGTAGGGGCTCCAACTCTGGGGTTTTGAGTCACTAGCATTGACCAAATGGCCACATACCTTTAGAATTGTGCTGTATGTAAGCAGTAGAGCCATCTGCAAGTGTTACTGCTTGTAAGCTTACACCTTCCATGTTTTCTAAATTGTCACCATCTATGATAAAACAAAATTACTTTCGTTAGATAGCTACTTATGTGCTTGCTAATTAAATTTTTAAAAATCACTTTTTTGGGGGTGTTTTTGAGACAGAGTCTCCCTGTGGTCTCCCTGTAGTCCCAGCTGGCCTGGAACTCACCGAGATCCGCCTGCCTCTGCCTCCCAAGTGCTGGGATTAAAGGGATGTACTATACACCTGACTAGAAACTGAGTTTTTAGAATTTACAAAAAAAAAAAAAAAAAAATTTCCATGCCCTACTTTACCCATCTATACCATGTTAAAAATGTTCATGGAGGGGCATGATAGCACATGGCTTTAATCTTAGCACTCAGGAGGCAGAAGTAGGCAGGTCACTGTGAGTTCCAGGCCAGCCAAGGCTACATAATGAGGCCCTGTATGAAAAACAAACAACAATAACAACAACAAAACAACAAAAACCATAAAGTAAAACAAAACAAAACAAAAGAAACATATTGGTTGATTTCAGTTGTACAAGTGTGTTAGTTAGCTTTCTATCACTATAACAAATATTTGAGATAATCACCTTATAAAGAGAAAAGGGAAGACTGAAGAGATGGCTCAGCAGTTAAGAACACTTACTGCTTTTGCAGATACCTGAGCCTGGTCTACATAGTGAGTTCCAGGACAGCTGGGGCTACAGGGAGACCCTGCCTGAAAAAGACAAAAAAAAAAAAAAAAAAAAAGAACAACAAAAATGCTTAGAAAAGGTATAAGTCTGTGTTAGGAAGTAAACAGTGTTGTAAGTATTCCTTAAGATAAATGACATTCCCAAATGCAGGTCATCCTTCCCAACATGACTGCTTACCTGCCACGGTTACTGCCTCTGTCAGGCAGAGGGTAACATGTTGAGCCTCCATTCCTCCTCCAGGAAATTCTGTCATTCCCTGAGAATCCCGATTTATTTGTGCTAACAACATTTTCTACCTTGAAGAAAAAAATGAGCATTTGGGTACAAGGAATGATGCACAGGAAATAAAAGCTGCAAATAACACCTGTGAACTACAAAAGCATTGCCAAGGATGGAAATGGTGATTGAGAGAATATGCAATTTTACTTAACACGAAGGGTAGGATTATCGAAACTAACAAAATTCTCTTCAAACTCAAGCAAAAATCAGTAAGATAGCTTAATAAGGACACATTTGCACAGAGCAGTTTGCTAAGTATGCCGTAGTTGCTTTCTAAGAGACCAGGGAATTTAAGAATTAACAGCAACAGAGAAGACATGCTGAGGTATTCAAATTCCAAACTACACTCCCAAAGCTGCTGTTAAACGCCATGCTATCTCACAATTAACACTAATATTATTAATGTTAATATTTTATTGCTTGTCATAGGTAAGGAAAGCAAAGCATTATCAGACAATTGTAAAAATCCTGACACACAGATCTTAATGTCTTTAATAACATGGACCTTGTTCTAAAAGTACACACAGGTAGTTAAAATATACCCACCTGGGCTGGGTGGTGGAGGCCTGTAATCCTAACACATGGGAAGTGGAGTCAAGAGGATCAGGAGTTCAAGATCATCCTCAGCTATATAGCAAGACAGATGCTAGCCTGGGCTACTTGAGGCCCTGTCTCAAAAACAAAAACAAAAATGAAAAACAAAACAAAACCCACTAGAGCTGAGGTTGGCAGAGGTGCTTGCTAGCTGGGAGAAGCCCTGGGTTTGATCCTCAGGGCCACATAAACCAGGTGTGGTGGCATATGCTTGTATTCCCAGCATTTAGGAGGTGAAGTAAGGAGTATCCTAAGTTTAAGGCTGGCATGATCTACGTAGCAAGTTTAAGGCCAGCCAGAGCTATATAGTAAAATCCTACTTCAAACAAACAAGCCCCTATATACCTCTAGTCAGAAATAATTATTTACATAGGACTCATTTTACAAAACACTTCAGATTCAATAGCTTATTGAATAGTGTTAAATGAAATAGTCTTGAAGGACTATAAAGTTCTTGGGCTTGTCCAATGTCCTCCAAATTCCCAAAGTTATTCGGCAAATTGATGGTTCTTGCCTGTATTCTGAACACCAGAAAGCGCTGAGGCAAGAGGATTGTGACTTCTAGGTCAATCTGGGCTACATCAGACAGCCTCAAAAGCCAAAGCAAAAAATCACGTTTCTTTCTTCATGGTGACTATTTAAAATATTTTCCATGTGTTTGAAACCTCCTACTTAACTGCCCATTCCCCATACCCACTATCAGCAAATTAATCAACTCCACAAGCAAGGTGGAATTCATCTGAGAGGAACTCACTGTGAACAGTCTATCAATTGACTGCATTTCTACACATTATTTCTTCCCTTTTTTCTATATTACCTTCTCACAAAAGTGAGACTAATCCTGATGAAATATGTTCATGCCTTCTCCCAAACATGTCTGTGCATATAAAGGCAACCCAGAGCCTTATGCATGCTGGGCAATCACTCTAACTGAGCCTTAGTCTATGCCCTGTCCTATGCACTTATCAGTCTTTCCTCCTTAGCTTGCTCAGGGAAGTTCTGCAATGGATCTATTCATCTCAGTTCCTTAACATCAGTAACTCAGAAACACAAACATATATATGAAAAAGTAAAATCAAGTGAGCAAAATCCCACCTCTGACTCAGCTAATCTCTCCTCATCACAATCAGCTTGTTAAGAATACTTTCTGAGGGCTGAGGGTGTAGCTTACTGCTCAAAGCCCAGGAGAGGGGGTGGGGGAAGGAATATGACTTCCCACCAGCCACTAGTGTCTGCCTTTAACTGTTTTGCAAATCCTCTGAAAGACACTGATTTATCCAAGAGAAATAAAAACACACATCCAGAGACTACTATAAGAATACTTAGGCGGCTGGAGAGATGACTCAGTGGTTAAGAGCACTGGCTGCTTTTGCAGAGAACTTGGGTTTGGTTCCCAGTACCCACAAGGCAGCTAACAACTATCCACAACACCAGTTCCCAGGGACTCAATGACCTCTTTTAGCCTCTGTGGGCACTACATGATATGCATGCACTTATATGCAGGCAAAACACTCACACATAAAATTAAAAAAAAATTTAAAGAATACTTATTCTGAACTAGAAAGGATTGAAATGAATGTCCATCAATAAGAGGCAATAAGCCAGAGGTAATAAATTCATATGACAGAATGTTACCTGCATACCAACAGAGGAAGAACTATTGCATAATGGAAAAATTTAGTGTAGTGGCACATGCCTGTAATCCCAGCACACAGGTGCTGGCAAAGGCAGGAGAATCACCACGAGTCTGAGACTAGCCTGGTGTACAAAAGTTCCAGGCCAGTGAGGGGCTACATAGTGAGATCCTGTGTCAAAAAACAAAAGCAGGGGCTGGAGAGATGCCCTAGCATTAAGAACAATACTGCTCTTGCAGAGGACTGGAGTTCGATTCCCAACACCCATATTGGGTGGCTCACAACCACCTGTAACTACAGTTCCAGAGGGACCCAACTCCTCTGGCCTCCTGGGGCACCTGTACTCACATGCACATTAGCCACACAGAGATAAACACACATTCATGTAATTAAAAGCCCAGCCCTCTTCCTCAGCCCTGCCTAAGGAGGTGGCTACTGAATGTTCTGGTGAAGTCTAACATGTTCATCTGGCACCAGTGAGACCCATAGGTCAAAATTAAGCATAGATTGCCTGGTACTGTGACACACAACTTTAATCCCAACAATAGGGAGGCAGGGGAAGGTGGAGCTCTATGAGATTGAGGACAGTCTGATATCCACAGCAAGTTCCAGACCAGCTGGGGCTACAGGGAGACCCTGTCTCCAATAACCCAAAACACAACACAACAAAGAAAAAGCAAAACAAAACAAAACAAAACACAAAACAAGACTCTGTCTTGGCTTAGAGAGATAACTCAGTGGTTAAGAGCACTGACTGCTCTTGCAGAGAATCCGGGTTTGATTCCCAGCACCCACATGGTAGCTAACAACTGTTCTTAACTCCAGTTCCAGGGAATCTGACACCCTCTTCTGACTTCCGCAAGCACTGCACGAAACGGGTACACTTATATGCATTCAGGCAATACACTCATATACATAAAATTAAAAAAAAAAAACCACCTATCTCAAAAAAAAAAAAATTAAGCATTGCTGTCAGAAACCCAGAGGCATCAACAGACAGACAATAGGATGCAGAGAATATTTGAGGGCCAGATTCTGACACTTAACTGTGGTTATGGGAGCGACAAGAAAACATGGCTGCCCAGTGCCCAGTGGTTTCTGGTAGTTCATGGTCCACAGTGTCAAGAAGCAGAAGTGCTCCTGATCTACAGCACATCTTACTTGCTGAGATGGCTCACAATGTTTCCTCTTGAAAGAGCAGTCACTAGTCACCAGGCTAAGCAGCAGAGAAAATGAATAGGCAGCTCATATACACATTTTAATTGTGCTTAAATAAAACCACCCCCCCCAAAAAAAAGGAGGAGAAAAAAGGAAAAAACTGGAAATATGCCTTTTTATTTTAGCTTGTTGTGGTGTTGGAGTGGAACCCAGGGCCTTGTGCAATACAGATAAGAGCTCTATCTCCAATACGGGCTCTGGCCCACATTTCTTTTGATTGATGTATACCACTGTCAAAACTCATAAAATTGAACAAGAGTTATGCACTTTCACTGTACGATTATATTTCAAAAATGTTCACAGTATATTCACGTTTGTGTGTGTGTGTCTGTGTGTGTGTGTGTGTGTGTGTGTGTGTGTGTGTGTCTGTGTGTCTGTGTAGACAGGGCCTGAGGAGGCCAGAAGTGGGTGTCAGATCCCCTGGAGCTGGAGTTACTGGCGATTGCAAGCATTCTGATTTGGGTACTGGGAATTGAGGTCAGGTCCTCTGGAAGAACAAGTGCTCCTAACAGTTAAGTCATCTCTTCCAGTCCCCCGAATTTTTTTTTTTTTTCTTTTGAGACAGGGTCTCCCTGTTGCCCCAGCTGGCCTGGAACTCCCTATATAGAGCAGGCTGGCCTTGATCGAAGAGATTCATCTGCCTCTGTTTCCAGAGTGCTGAGATTAAAGGTGTGTGCCACCAAGCCTGACTTGAGACAAGGTCTATCATAGCCCAACCAAGTGGGGTATGATCTTGAACCTCTGATCCTCTGACTTCATTTCCCAGAGTTGGGATTACATGCATAGGCCACCACACCTGGCTCTATATACTTCAATTTTTTTTTTTTTTTGGTCTTTTTGAGACAGGGTCTCCCTGTAGCCCCAGCTGTCCTGGAACTCAATATGTAGACCAGGCTGGCCTTGAACTCTGCCTCCCGAGTGCTGGGATTAAAGGCGTGCACCACCACACTTGGCTATACTTCAATTTTTGAAGTTAAAAAAAAAGACCAAATGTTGACAATAGATATTAAAACTTCATTCATTCATTCATTCATTCATTCATTCATTCAGGGACAGGGTCTCCCGGTAACCTCAATTGGCCTGTAACTCATTAGATAGGCCAGGCTGGCCTCAATCTCACAGATTTGCTTGCCTCTGCCTCCCAACACCCATATTGGGACCAAAAGCATATGCATTCACACTCAGCTTAAACATTTTTTGATGAATTTTTTTCAATTTTTAAATCTTTCTCAGTGTCTCTAATGGGTTCCAATATTGAGGCTCTATAATGTCCTGCCCTAGACTTCGTGGGATTTTTGTTTTGTTTTGTTTTAATCTATATGCTCCCCCTTGAGAAATTTCACATACATGGCTTCTAAGGTCTTCAAGGCTCTTCAAAGTTCTTTAGAGAACTTTAGAGTCTATTTTTTTTCTCTTGAGGATGGGTTTCTGACAACGTATCCAACTGCTTACAGGCTCAGATCATAATACAGTCCATAATAACCTTTCAACACAATTACCTCCCTAAATTCCTTTTGTATTATTTCACTGATAAAAGCAGTCACCAAACAAAAACAAAATGAAAAAC